TCTGGTGTCAGGAAAAAGCATCTACCGGGGGAACTTACGAACTCCTGGTCTTAATTAAAAATTATAGTAAGTCATCCGTTGACAAAGTGTGCCGATCTAACGATTGTATGCCACGTAAGTGACATAGAGTTAGAGTGAACAGTTCTACACCCTTGGCTTTTCACAGTAACTATTGAAATCGTCTTGACACTTTACTTTCTTGTTACTTTCCTGGCTTTTACAATATAACATTGTCATCGTGTCACACATGACCCTCCGGTTTTCTTACTTTTCGACGTTTTCCGACTCCCGATTTCCAAAAGTTTTAAAAAGATGACACCTGCAATGTGCTCGTTTCTATGCTAGTGTCCATTTTTGTAAAATCTCTACATGTATTCTATTATCGTAACACGTAGTGTATTACCTCACAAGTACGTAATGTTAGATATATATAGATTCACGGTGGTACAATCGACAGATGAGCTAGTAGTTTCCAGTTACACGAAGAGTTTCTTCTCTGTGTATTATACTCTGTAGTGTGTACAGTTCAATGCTACACATTCAGCTTTAAAAAACTGTTCTATATAATCTTAAGTTTGGGATAATCGCGTTTCTGTTGTTTTTTTTTATATCCATAAATCTATTCCCACAATCTGGTGTGTGTACGCACCAAGTATGAAAGCGAATGGTCCCATTTACAAATTACTATTCATAGAAATAAATTAGCAGAGTAATTTGAACTCTGTATGCAACGAAAAGTCAAAGAGATATTTAATAATCCACGTCTCAGAAAATTGCATTTGTAATGAAATAACCTTATGCATTCTTTCATTGTGACTCCCTTCTACTTGCGTATATTTTAATCCCCGGAAGGGTCAGACTTAATGAGGATTTTACTCATTATCATTTGCAATATTTAATAAGACCCATCTGTTCCATCGAAATTAAAGAATCTGAAACGTAAGTCTGGTGTTTATATCTTTTGTTATAAATAAAGAAGTTATTCGTAAATAATAAAACCAAATTTTAATCATTTTGCTTTGTCGAAACCAAGCGAAATTCTTATTCAAAATTATTCATTATAATTTTTGTTCTCGTCTGTTTTAAATGATGTCGTGACGATCTTGATTTATTCACATTTTTTCAAAGCGCGCTTTGGACAGATCAACGAACGTCCACGCCTCTTGTCGTTTTTCGGGCGCTTTAAGAGCCCGTTCGGCCCGATCTTCTTTTGGCACACGGCACATCGAACGATTTTTGTACAAGCAGAGGTTCTCTCGTTGGAATTTTTGGCGGCCTCTTCGCACGCTGTACGAAATAATAAGTCTGGATAAGAGAGTTGCTTTCCCACACGAACGGCAGATGGCGTAATGTGTGGCCACGAATTTCTTCACTTCTGTGACTCGATCGTCTCTCTTTGTAATTCTGCGTATCGGGGATCGACACATCGGACGAACTTTCCAGATTTTTCCGGCGCTCTCGATACACGTCTTGTGGTAGCATGGCAGGGAAACCGGATCGATGTGAACATCCAGACAAATAGGACATTTCGCGTGAAAAATACCTAATTCTTCCGCTGCCATTTTTCGATGCACTTTTCCAACAATCGGCCAGATATTATTGGTCTATAATACGAACTGTTTCTAATGTTTATTCGTTCATTTATTTCGTATTCCAATCATTTTATAATTGAATTTAGATGTTGTTCTTATTAAATTTATATCCTTCGTATACAAGAAATGCATTATCGTGTCCAAGTGGTTCTATTATACGCCGTTTAGCCTAATAACGCTAACAGAATGTCGTACAAATCTCTTTCTTCCTAGCGATGCACGCAACAAAAAACACAAAATTATATTTTCCTATTACTTTTCCGGCTGTTATATATGACAGAGGAAAAGAAAGGCCGTCGATCAAAACACGACCCTCAAAACTTTTACACTTTGACTCAAAAAATCTTGAAACAACGAGAAATCAAAAACTTCAATGTTTTTTTCCCGTATGTATGAATATTAGTGTATGGAGAAATGAGTTTGTTCACCCTGTTTGAAGCTTAATAACTCCTGTGGTTTTTGTCGAAAATTTCCGAAATTTTGCAGGAAGATAGAGAAGGTCGTGTGTATCTTCAGTAGGGTCGGACTTAAGAATGAGTATACTGGTTACTGGCGTTTACAATTTTTTTATTAAACCCATATCTACCCTCAAAATTAAGCTATTTGTCATTTTATAATAATTGAAACTATAAAATTTTAAAAATGTAATACGATAACGGACGACGCCACCAAATGTTGCCAGGAAAGTTAGACAACTTGTTGTTGGCTTTTTTAATGAAGTAAAAAAGTAGACTAATTATGTCTGTTCTGACTAAGTTTGGCTTGATTAGATACGTCAACGCAATATGTCGGCTATCTGTCAACAGGAATGCATCCAGAGAGGACTTTCGATAGGAAACTGGCTCCTATTTTGATGTTACTTACGTAAAGAATACCGGAAAAGTGTAATTAAGCAGCCTTTTGGTAGAGTGCGAACCCGAGAGCAACTGCCATTGTTTGCTGGCTTTATTCACTGGGTCACTGGTGAGAGTTTTAACTAGAAACAATCAATCTATATATAGAAATGAGTGTCATAATGGTGTAGTTCTAAACGAGTTATACGAAGTCTTTTGGACATTGAGATTAGCAACTGGATTGCGTGCGGAGCCATCACAACCCGTCTAACACGGATCACTTTTCAAATATTAGTAGTCATTGAGCATCCTCTCTTCCTGGAGAACAACGACTACGTATGGTCGAATTATTAATACTTTCAACCTCCTTGCGTAACAATCCCTTGTTTGTATCGGACCATCGGTACGGTGTCATTCGTTATTTTGGTCATTTGGTGTAATAAACCCTTACATAAGATAACCTTCGTAAATATAAATCAAATACTATTATATAATACGATAGAAGGGTTACAAGTACGAAATAACCTAACAAACTTAATCTTTGCTGTTGTTATTTTTTGTCCGGGTCATCTGCTAGTATACAATAAGTTATATATTTAGGTACTGTACATTAATTTACATTTACGGCTGAACGTAAAATTAATGTCCGTAAATGTTAATGCAATATTCTATTTTTACGCTTTCTCTTACAAAAAAGGGACAGTGAATCGCACAAAAAATGCCTCTGCTTGATATATTCTCCGCTCAACCAATAATAATTGTTATTAGTGTCAAATGTTAATTGACATTTAAATTGCAGATCTATACATTCCCACTGTGTGTCTGTCCTTCGTTAATCTCGAGAACGGAGTTACACTGATGAAAATCGAGACCGGATACGGATAGCTTATGCCCGTAGACCTACATACAAATTTCCCTATTGGACCGGAAGTGACGTGATTCCAATTCAACATTTTCTCCAAAACCTGTTCCGTGGAAAAATGTGATAGGTAATAGATGACCGGAGTGACTCTATCGTTATCGGGAGAAATGTCATGTACAGGAGTAACATACCTGAACATCCATACCAGATACAGTTTTGAAAGTCACCGATGTACGAACTTTTGGTATCGGAGGTGACGTTAAGCTCCAATTTTCGAAATAAAATGCATTTATTTTCTTTTTATAAATCATGCGTTACAAGTAAGTGGCAAATAAAGCGTTTTATTACAATAATAAATCCAAGACTTCTCTATTTATAGTACTGACCTTTATTGTTTGTCATATGTAAAGAAAACTTGCGTTTTAGCACTCACCAATATAGCGACGTAAAAGCTAAACAGGGAAAAGTTAATGCCAAGTGGCTGTCTGCCTGTGAATGGAGACTTAAACGTAATATATTAAATAAGCGTCATAGGTGGGAAATTCTAAGTGGCAGAAAAATCCAACTAACCGGATGAAGATAGAGAAACAGCGAGTAAACATTTAACTTAAATCTATCTTACAACTAACTTAACACTACCTAGTATTAACTTATATCTAACTTATTACTATACAAGAATACAGACAAGGACATCAACTGACACAGACGAGAGAATTGTCGGATGAGCAAGGAAGATGTCTTTTTGGAGTATATAAAAGGATACAATATACAACGGAAATAAACATGGCAATACAGACAAAACTAAACCCAAGAGATGACATTTACAACTCATAAGGACACGTCCGTTCGAAACTAACCTTATCTAAACCGGTCACAAGGGCCTTGCTGCGGGATAGAAATGAAAGTAAGTGTTGGTACTGTACGTTGTCCGCGTTTTGATAAGTCGGTGCAATGTGCAAGGCCAGTTGTACCCCTCCAAAATTGTCACTCTCGTTAAACCATCCATAATGTTTGTGTATCTATTGCAATGGAAAATTAAGTGGAGTCCGTTCCTCGCGCAGGCCATAGTCGCAGTTCGGATCTTCCTCAAATCCGAAATTACGCAGATCATGCTCGAAGTTGCCTTGACGGGTAAGCTGTGTGAGGGTGAAACTGGGAAAAATATTTAGAAGTGGCAATTGTGTCGAACTTTTGGGTAAAGGTGTACGTGGGACTACCGGTAGTCTCGAGGTCTTAGCTGTCATGCCAGAGAATGGTGATTTGTTTTTCGACGTGCTTGTCTATGAAAGAAGTGGGAATGTAACTAAATGTGCTAAAGTCCGTATATATGTTTGGCAAGACGATCAACGGCCTTGTTTTCGAGTGTCCCCGAGTGACCCGTTGGAAAATTTACTCTAACGATGTTTAACTGTTGGAAATGTCATGTATGAGATGCACAAGTTTTCTGAGCAATACGCCTTATTTTATGGGCAAAAATAGCAATTGTCTGTGTCCCCATCAACGGAGTCCCCACACTAATCTTTGATTAAAAAAATATTTCCGCAGAAAATTCCCCGAAAAAATTGTCTTAGGTCAACATAATATACAGATCCGGTACGATAACAATATCATTATTACGTATATTTCATAGAATTTGAAATAATATAAGAGTGCTTTTAAGCACAATTATGCTTTATCTTCACCTATCCACATTATTAATTGATACTTTTTTTCCTCATATTCAACCATATCGGCAGTCTTCCTTTTCCAAAAAAATTCTCTTTTATCGTGATGTTCCATCTGGCTTACGAGACGAAACATTACGTTATATAAGCCCCTGTCAGGTATTTCAATTATATGAAGACAAACTAATATTAAATTATCCAAATACTGTATAAAAATACAGTAATTTTGAAACGAAAAACAAAATTCATATAATTTACTTGAAAATGTAATAATTATTTTGATACTATTATTAGAGAAACAATAAAGACAGTTGTTGCATTCTAAGACCGTTTATTTAGGAATTTTTATCTTTGAAATATCTGTTAGATTTCCAGTGGAATAATTTCGTACATTAGTCTAATGCCCGGGAGCACGCTTTCGTCTCACGTGCAACCCGACAACTCAAATCCAAGAATTGTCGATATCGTCACGTTATTGATATGTCATTTATTATTACAGGATTGCTAAATATTTAACAACTGGTATACCACAATTACACGCACCATCTGACCCGTTTGGAGCGCAATAACCTGTCCTTGGCGAAAGGTAAGTAAGTATTAATCCGTCTATCGGCACGAATTTTAGATCCAGAAAGAGGTAAACGGACAAGGTCGATAGAAACCTAAGAAAAACGACTGACGATATAACGGTGTAACGGTGTTTGAAAAAGAGTGGTAAATCGTTGGAAAGACATTAAAGTCTTTAGACAATGACCCAACCCAGACTGCACTGTATTATGAACGAATAAGAAGTAGCACGAATTTCATTATTCGAAGACTGGACGTTTCATCAGTTTCGTTACAACACATCCTTACAAACACCCCTCGCCATAACATTCACAATTGAACCATTATCTAGTTCGTTCGTCGCATCCAATCATTTACGTATCACGCTTCGTTACCGTAAACGACACCGTCACGTAACACAAACACTGTTCTCCAAAATCCAACCCCTAGGTCCTGGTCCTGGGAAGTGGAAACGTCACTCGACGTTTTCCAGTGGCAGATGAAGGGGCTCTGGTATACCGGATATACACACTGTAGTTCTCTTAATCTTCTCTGTGCAACAATGTATTATATTTGTATTTTTTGTTTCCTGCGTCCAGGACCGCATTAAATCAGGACATATCCATCCGAATAGCCTCGTGTCAATATTTTTTCTTCTATATCTGTAACTGTAAAATAACCCTTGAAATAGGACTGGGGGCATCGTATCTACATAAAAAAAATATTTAAAAATGATTTTATGTAAATAAAAGGAATAAAGTTGTGGAGAAAGTTGTAATAAAGTTGGATTTTACCTGACAGGTATACCTGAACAGGTGCGCCTTCCGGTATACTCGAACCTATCGATGGCGGATCTGCGAGTTTTTTTATTTATACTTTGATGGTTATCGCTCCTCGTGGGGCTTCCGTATTATTTTCTGAGTTTTCATTACGTGTGTAACACCTGAACAGGCGCTATTTTGAGGGAGGCATTTCGCCTGTCGGAAGATCGCCCACGTTTCGCGTTGGCGTAACAAATAAAAGAAATGAAATAATTTCATGCTTGTTTCGTGTTATATTTTAATTTATAGGTGATAAAAAATGGGTATGAAATTATGGTGATGAAAAATTGTTATCGAGCTTTATTACAGGGCGATGAACTCGCTTGTAATAAAGATGTATTTATTACAGATGGTCATCGCGTTAATACGTGAATTAACCTATAAAATCACAGCTTTTTTCTCGGAAAATAGAGGAAAAATATGCCGTTTGTATATCAAATATACAAAATATAGAAACGGTCAGGAAATAAATTAATGAGTCATTAAAAATCGACAATATTGTTTAAAATCACAACTAACGGTCCTCGGTATTTAATCAAAGGCATACACTCCTAATTTGCTAAAAACTGTCGAAAAGTTATTGGGTTAAGTGAATTTATTAGCTTCATTTGTTACTCATATCGAATTGTCTCGTATCATACTTATACACATTATCGTCACCTTACCAAATTCGTTTGCATTTTGACTGCTAAATAACTGTATGCAGATTGAACAGTGGTAATTACTACCTGGTGTATATATATGTTAAGGCTGAAGCCCTGAAATCTGCTTGTAAGCTAGGTAAAGCGCAACATTGGTAGATTGTCACTCGCTTTGCCCAAAGTAAAAATTAGGCAGTTAATCCTAGTTTATGGCAGTGTTAAATATTTTCATTGGCAAATAAACCAAATAAAAATCAGTACTGTATAAATATAACAATTAAGAAATTTATAGAACGAAAATAAACACCTGGAATATAAATGAATATTTCACGTGATTCGCTGTATGACGAATAGCACGTGCGACGTAGTCAAGTTTATTCTACATCCAAATATCACGTGACTGATGATATTTGTGAATAAATCATAGCGTTTCGGATCGTCACAAACGGTGCTTTTAACTCGCTTACAAAGAGGAAACACGAGAAATGAATAAGTTCACGTTTATATTCGTCATTATCGGTGAGTTTCATTGTTTTATATTATTACAAAGTGGTTCTATCATCATCGTATAATAATTTATACGGTAGGCCTACATATTATACGTGAAAGCAGTATCGACGGCTAAGTAGAATGAAAACTGTAATTGCAGGGTGTTAAAAGTGGCAAATTTGTTATTAAAATACAAACCATTCTTCTCCTTAGACGTAATTTTAGTTAAAAATTTGCTTGTTTTAATTATTATAGAAACATTTCATTATCTAAGAGAACGGAATAAAAGTTAAATCGTAGTAAAAGAAGATAAACGTATTAAGTCCATTATTTTTTCTTTAAGATTTCTTTTTACAAAAATTAAAATACTGTAATTAGTCATTTACAAAGTTATAAAAGCAGAAATGTATTTCTTCCAGTAATTGTTCTCTCGAGAAGCGGAGAAGGTAGAAACAGAAATGCCCAAGACCGCAGTTCCATTTACGACCTAGTGACGTTGAATAGAAGAAGTAACATCGTTAGCGGTGTATTACGTCGTATAAGTAATCCAACTACTAAACCTACTATTAAAACACCTACTATTATACCTGCCGATAAACCCGTTGATGTACCGCATGAAGTCGTAATTCAACCTCCAGCTGTTATCGTAATTATTCCAGGACCTGTAGGGTTAGGGTAAAGTGGGGAAATTTCCTTCGATAGAGTAATCCGATCTATCCATATGTAAAAAGATTAGAATTGCTCACGTGTCAGGTAAAATCTTAAAAGTGTATCTGATTAAAAGGTTAATTTTTCTGTTTTCGGCAAATATTTTTTAAGTGTTTATAGATAGTCACGTAGACCGAACTTTGTTAATTGCTTTAGCACTTTCATTTAATAAATAAATTTTTTCTTCTGTAACGTTTCTTCCGAAAGTGCTCGAAGTTTCCCCATTTTACCTGAACCGCTTCCCGTAAACGTTACCAAATTTGGTACAGTATCTGGTCCTATTGCCAAAAATGTGTCTCGTGCTGTATGTAGTGTTGTGTCTGGTATCGTACCAGACCCTATACGTTTTCCTGGATTGTTTCCATCACAAGGTAGAAAATAATCAAAAAGGATTTAAGAAAATTATTACAAAATCGAGTCCAAAATTCCATAAGTAAGAATAAAGAAAGGTCAGTACTATAAATAGAAAAGTCCTGTATTTATTGTTGTATTAAAACGCTTTATTTGCCAGTTACTTGTAACGCTTGATTTATTTAAAACTCTCTCTGGTATGAATGTTCAGGTGTGTTGCCCCTGTACATCGCACTTCTCCTGATAACAATAGCATACCGGTCATCTGTCATCTACCAAATTTTTCTACGGAATGTGTTTCTGAAGAACAGTTTGAATTGAAATCACGTGATTTTCAGTTCAATAGGGAAATCCGTATATAAGCTCCGGGCATAAGCTTTTCATATCCGATCTCGATTTTCATCTATCTAACTCCGTTCTCGAGATTAACGAAGGACAGACACACAGTGAAAACGTATAGATCTGTAATTTCAAATGTCATTTAACGTATGACACTAATAACAATTACTGTATTGTTGGTTGAGCGGAGAATATATCAAGCAGAGGCATCATTTTGAGTATATGTAATTTGCTGTCCACTTTTTGTAGGAGAAAGTGTACAAGTAGAATATTGCATTAAATGTATTTTAATACTTATTAATTGTATACGAAGACGTGTATTGTAACATACAGTATTTTACGTGACGTTTTACTTTCCTGTTACTTTCGTGGTTCCTACAACATAACATTGTATCGTTTCACACACGACCCTCCTGTTTTATTACCTTTTGGACGTTTTATGAAGTTGCAAATAGCTCTGAATAGGAATAAATTAGCAGGATAATTTGAATTTGTCAGTATGCAACGAAAATATATGAATAAATTTAATTATTCATATCTCAGTGAAGCCCATTTCTAATGAAATAAGCTTATGGAGTCTTCCATTATGACTTCCTTCTACTGTATATTTCTACCGTATTATCACTCAATTTTGTGAATTTGCGTAAGGGACTCACTCTTAAGGGAACTCACTACATAAGGTAAACGTCGAGAAATTTAAATGTTGTTGGGTAAATTAAGCAACTCATTGATGGATAACTGATTACGAAGTATACTATTATACAAGGTCTGTTCAAAAAGTATCGGACCTTTTTTTCCGCGTAAACCAATGATGCGAGAGAGGCCTCCTTCGGTGGAGTTGTGGAGGGGACAGTCATGCACAGCCCTGAATTTTTTCCCGCCTGCAGGAAGCGTCAGTCGTTGGCAATCGGCGTATGAGTGAGGTCATGTAGTGCGCTCTCGTCGGATTTCACTAAGCTGGAAAATGACTGAACAACGTGAGCAGCGATATTACATCAAATTTTGCCAAAAACCTTGGCGATACCCGAGTGTAAACCATTCGCAAGATTCAGCAGGCTTTCGGGGACGATCCTCGAGGCCAAAAAAAGCGCGGCAGGTCCGCAGCAATATCAAAGGTCATGTTGACAGTTTTTTCGACTCTCGTGGGGTGGTGTGTCGTGAGTACGCACCACAAGGCCAAACCATCGCAAAGGAGTACTACCAGGAGGTCCTTCGTCGTCTTTCCGATACAGTGCGACGCAAACGACCGGATCTGTGGTCGATCAAAACTTGGCAGCTCCATCGTGATAACGCATCCGCCCATTCTGCGCATCTGATTCGGGCTTTCGTCGCCAAACACAATACTCCTGTGGTTCGTCACGCTCCGTACTCTCTCCACATGGCTCCGTGTGACCTTTGGCTATTTCTCAAGCTGAAAATGCCGCTAAAAGGAACCCAAATTTAGTCGAGAGAAGACATCATGCGAAATGCGACGGACCGGCTGATAACCATTCCAAAAGATGCGTTCCAGCAGTGTTTCCAGCAATGGCAGGAACGCTGGGAGAAGTGTATACATTACCAAGGAGACTACTTTGAAGGGGATTAGGGTTTTGTACCTCAAAGTCAATAAATTTATTTTTGCCGACCAAAGGTCCGATACTTTTTGAACAGACCTTGTACTGTTCTGTTCAATGATTTAAGTTGCAGCATTAAACCGTTCATACACCTTTTATGATTGCGCGATGAGGAAATCCAAACTTGACATCCTATATGTAGTTTGCAAAATTGTTGAATTTTGCGCCGAATGTAACCAATATCAAAGTATAATTTTCGAAAGGTCACGGGCATCCTTCTTACAAAGTTTCATCATTATTGCATCAATGGTTTTCCTCTACTCTTAGCTTTAAAATTCACAATAATTTGTGATTTCATTTCACCAAATGAATTCTTATCATGTTGCAATCATTAAACCAAAAAACATTATTAAATGCTAAACGTAAAGTTCAGTTCATGGTGGTTAGAATCACGTATATCAGGTTATCCCCCGATCATTGCTTGTCAAAATAAAAGGTCCAATATATGCAATAAACAATATCACGTGACATTTGTTGGTCTAGTCGAACAGTCATTAAACATACGACGTTCAAACGTCCAACAAAACAGTTAAATTTGAATCAAATTTTCATGAAAATTACACAACTTTTAGGGTCGCAGGATACTAAATTCTGACAGAAATTTGCGTACAGATTTTGATTAGTTCGATAAATACGTAAATATCTCGAGAACCGTTTGAAGAAATTCAAAATCTGTCGGAGCCGAATATAGCCTTTCAGACAGCTCTTACGAATATCGAACCAGTGGCTCGACCTCTAACCCAGTGTTTTTCAACCTTTTTCATTGAGTGGCACATCTAACTGAAAAATAACAAATCGTGACACCCTTGACCAGCGGCGGATCTAGAATCTGAATAAGGGGGGGACTAATGGGCCAGATGAATTTTTTTGCGAAAAAGAATATTACGCGCAACGCAAAAGTGTTTCTACGTGTTCAAAATCAAAATTTAAGTTCATTGAATTTTGTCGAAATACCTACACGTAAAATAATAGTCTCGCTATTGTTTTTTAAATATAGTTTTATTATCAAATATATCATCATTTTATATTATCATTTTATTTATAAACAATTTTTCTTAAGTTTTTTATAGAGGAGAAGGTGGTATTATGGAACCCCAATTACATTTTAGTGAATTGTAAAGAAGGTATCATAACTACAAAGTGCTCGAAGTTTC